GGAGATTCAGCTGCTTAGTCTGAGCTATATTACTAACTAGCTGCAAGTAATGTGTGGAGGTATGAATGAAGAGTGTGACCAGTGATGCATACTTTTTAGGAATGGTGGAAGGAAAATAATCACTTCTTGAAAATCCGTGCTCCATTTTATAGACAGTGTGGTCATTCCTTAGTCAGGTAGACCAACATAATAGGAATACACCAGGACTTCCCAGAGGCTTTTGGCCTGTTCTCCTGCCCAGCTATTCACTTCCTAAGTGCTAAGGAGAACATAAATAGGTAGATAAGAAACACAGACTTCATGTCTGTCAGTCGGAGTCCAACTGTTAGGCGACATTTAGAAGAAGGGTTTCCCTTTGGGCAGAGTATTCTTGGAAATTAATTCCACAAATCCTCTACTTAAGTAGCTTCTATGTTGTGCCATTACAGGAACCTGATTATATACTGCCTTGGAGGTATTATTATTTACATCTGTGTAAAAACCATGATGAAATTTGTAGTGTTTTGCTCTCACTTTAGTCAACGGCGAGGGTTTGCACCAGTTACAGAGAATCAAGTCTTGGATCTCAAATTAGAAACACTCATGGCTAGATTTAATATGACAACTTCATCTTTATGAGTGAAAATACAAAGTCAAACCTGAAAAATAGACTAATAGCATACTATTATTGCTTGTTTGACCCACTAGCAAACATGTATATGGTAGACAGAGTCAAAGAATCACAGGATCATTACAGTTGGAAGGGGCCTTTGGAGATCCTCTAGTTCAACCCCCACAGCGAAGGCAGGGCCACCTAGAGCTGGTTACACAGGAACGTGTCCAGGCAGGTTTTGAATGTCTCCAGAGAGGGAGACTCCATGACCTCCCTGGGCAGCCTATTCCAGTGCTCTGTCATCCTAAATGTACAGAAGTTCTTTCTCATGTTGAGGTGAAACTTATTGTATTTCAGTTTAGGGCCATCACTCTGTGTGCTGTCATTGAGCACCACTGAAAAGAGTCTGGCACCACCCTCCTGGCCCCACACCTGTAGGGGAGCAGTGATAGGCAGAGCTGAGAAATGTTTCCAGATTCATATCTGTGCTTTCATGGGAACTGTAGAAATTTTAAGTCTGAAAAAAAGAGTTTGGAAATCTTCATCTTGCTATTTTTGTAATTCTTTGGCCTTAGAAAGCTGCCAAGTTCGTTGAATGCTATAAATTCCCCTAAAGTATTTAAGTTACTGCACTTTAAAAAGGTGATAAAAAATAACTTACTTCTGAAAGTATATTTCTTTCTTGGAGTCAAAAAAAAAGCTGCTCCCCTCATTAAATCATAGATTGCTGATTTGTTTTGTCTTTCTCACTGGATATGTTAAATGTCACAGCCATTTTTCTTGGATCTCTAAGGAAGTGTCAAAAAATTTTACTGACATTTTATACTGTTGTTTCTTAACTTTGTAGAAAGCTTCTAATTCAGGGATACTCAGCTTGAATTTAAACACAGTTTGCCCAGTAGCCATTTCACTTTTAAGCCAGATTTCAAGATACTCGATGGAAGGGATATGTTTAATCTTTTTTGCTAATGCTGTGCTGAGACTTATGTAGATGAATTCTAAATGATAAATGTTAAAATTTATAGATTAAAAGATTGCCCTTTTTGCTGTTATTTCTTTTATGCAATGGACTGTCTAAAATCTTTTATTTTTTCGCTCTTTCCCTTTTCTTATTAAAATGCACGCATGTATTTTTCATTATTAACAGCAGTGAAAATAGACTTGATTTCATCTCCGGGTCTCTCACAGAGTAATTTATCTGAGCAGCACTGCATGTTATCCTTCCTGATATTTGCAATTTCTTTCATAACAGAATCAAACTAAACTCCTTGACCATTATTGCTACATTGTATTTCACTCCTTAGTTAGGTGGAATACTTTGTCATTCTAGATATTTAGATGTAATTAGAGCTTCTATTTTGTCATGGAGATATAATTCATTTTGTGGGACTATTTCTGGATCCCTCCTAAGCAAGTAAAGTCAAACTTTATGAAATGAAGGTACTATCATTATTCAAGTTTGTAAAACATTCAGAGTGTATTTGGCACATAACTACAGGCGAATAAATTGTAAAAAAAAAAAACATCGAGGAGTGAATTTGGAACTAATCTATCTCTATCAATTTCTATAAATGCAATAATTACTCATAATGCACAGTCTTGATTGAATGTATTTTATGTATCTAGCCAGGAAAAAAATATCAGTCACTGTAAATACAAATATGAACTCAACCATTGATCTAAGTTTTAAATTTGTCTCGAGCTATTATATCAAATTCCATCAGCTGTGGCATTTTTCCGTTTCCTTTAAGACAAATACAGTTGAGTGTTTGGATTTTGCTTAGGCCAAATACAAAAAAAAAAAGGAGAATAAACTTCTCTAGAGTCTTTTTCCTTGTTCATGCAATAACTTTCCTGTCCACAGCTGCATTTGTAACCTAGCTGAGAAGAAGAATTTATTGCTGATAGTATTAAAATCCAGTACAGATAATCAGTTGGTTGGAGTTAGAGCGATATGGTGTAGCTGATTATTTGGGAACATGTGACTTCTAGGAGACAGTGATAATAACCAAAAGCAGGTTGGCTTCCTAGTACTCACTGAGAGAAACTGGGTTTGGTTGTAAAGATGAGAATTCTACAGAAGATGAATTTTTAGCTGCACGTTGGAGGTTTTTTTTTTCCCCCCAAATGTCTAGTTCCGAAAAGTCTTCACAGGTTTATTTTAAATTCTGAACTTTAACTTCTTGTAGTCATGGCTTATCTACAAAGAGTAGGTAAAACAGACTTGGGTTAGTAAGACTAGCTCAGCAACATTCATTTCCATGGATAAGGAGATAATCCCTACTCTGTGAAGTGATAAATTAGTTGATAATTCACTGACTGGAAATTCTAGGAATCAAGAATGACCAGTAGGAAAGACTTTTGAGAAATTAAATGCTACAATTTATGCATATGGAATAGCACTTAGTTTGGTTTTCTTTCTTTAATTTCTTCCTTTTTTTTTTTTAATGGAAGCTCAAAGGAAGAGAAGGAAACTAACTGGGAAAGACACACAATATAGAAAACAAGCATAGTTTAGCCAACTTCACTGAAAGCAGTTTGCTTTCATGTGTGATTGCTGTTGTATTAATCCCACTCCAAAGCTATGTTCTAACATGGCTTAGTGTTCAAGGTTTGTCTACAAACACTTAGGAACATCTACGTTCATGCTCACTGTTGACATAGAGCAGGTCATTATAATTTTTCCTTTTTGTGTTTTCTATTCTGATTAGGCCATGGAGGTTATATAACTAGTAGGACCTATCAGGGATGCCTCTAACATTGCTTGTGTAGATACAGCCTAAATGAAGACAGAGTTAAGGAATGGGGCTCTTAAAACACCCTAAAAGGTAACTAGTCAATATTTGACTAGGGCAAATACTTGTCTGAGAGGAAAAACAATGGTCTTTGAGTAAAGTAATCTGGTGTAAGATTGCTACGTAGTCATAGGAAAGATTCTTCCACTATACCTTAAAAAGCTAGAATTCCTAAAGATGTCTTCTTGTGCAAACTAGTTTTGAGGTAACTTGCATCAATATTGTAAAAGCTTCAACAGAGTTCTAGGCTGATGCTCAAACCAGAAGCTTAGTAGTTTTTAGTAGAATTTTATTCCTAAAGTGAAATTAGCATTTTCAGCACAAAGCTATATAAGTAAAATCCCAATTATTGGGTCAATATCACAAAGTTCCAGGGCTCAGACCATCTGGGACACATTTAAATTTAAGATAAACAGAAGGAAATGCTTGCAGAAATCCCAACAAAGTCAATTAGCACATCTGTGCTTCCTTGTCAAATGTCTTTGCCACATCCTCTGTATTCATGTTCCATCTTTCTTTGTAGACCTAAATTCTTTCTGTTCTTCTCTCTGACTTTTTTTTTTTTCTTTTATAATCTGATACTTAACAAGTGCACTGGAAATATATGTTGCCACACATACTTGCAGTTTTACTTGTGTTTCTGCCATCCTGCATAGTTATTTTTTCCTCTCTTGGCCTTGCCATCTTTTCAAACATTGCACTGTCTAATTTTCTCCCCCTCTAGTTATTACCTAGTTTAATCATCTAACCACACCATACAATTACATAGTTTTGTATAATAGGTTTCATGTATTCTTCATCTTTATTAACAGATTTAACTTACTACTATAAGATACAGACTTTATGACATTTTATACAAAAGAAAATAACCTGCTGTAGAGCCGTTTCCCATTAATATATCTATATATGAAGAAGGCACCGCTAAAGCCCCCATTCCTCCAGAAAGCCTCTGAATTAACTGAAATCCTTACTAGAAAAATGTTGAGGAAAAGGCACAAAAGGGAACTCCCGTTATATCATCTCCGTTCTGCTCCTTCTGCAGGCTACATTGTCATATTCTTCATAAATTTAAAAAGAGTTGTCTAGAAATTAGTCCTTCTTTCAGCATTCTTCTGTCATCCTCCAATAATATTTGAGGAATAATACCATTTAACTGCTAATACACTGATCATTTCTAAAGACAAATGTTGTGAGTTAGATGTGTATTTTTACATACAGAAATAAACCATAAAATCGTACTTCTGGCACCATATTTCCAGCACTTCTACCATTTGTTTTCAGTTTTGCACTTACTGCATTGCACAGAACACCACCTTTCCCTAAGCAGATCTTGAATGGGGAAGTTAATTCAATAAAGGAAACAAATGTAAGGGAATATTGGTTTCATGTAAGTTGAAATATGCTGGATAAAATCTGAAAATTAACCTTTATATTTTATTTTATAAGTGGCTGGGTTCTGACACTGTATCTTATGCATTCTATGCATGCTTTTGGGTCTATTAACAATGAAACAGGATGTTTCTGTAAAGTCAAAATTGCTGGCTAGCAACAGTTGTTGCTCAAAGTGTGTCTCCATTCCAATTCTGACAAACTGTTTTCTTTTGTCCTTACAGTTTTCCAGTTGTCCCACAAAGTCACTCGGGTGGTTCCAGAGAGTGCTCTTCTGATTGTTCTTGGTCTCTTCCTTGGTGGCATTGTATGGGCAGCAGATCACATTGCCTCCTTTGCCCTTACACCAACTGTATTTTTCTTCTATCTGCTGCCCCCCATTGTTTTGGATGCTGGATACTTTATGCCAAATAGACTGTTTTTTGGAAATCTTGGTTCTATCCTTCTGTATGCTGTCATTGGGACAGTCTGGAATGCTGCCACAACCGGTTTGTCGCTCTATGGCGTCTATCAGACAGGAATAATGGGTAAGTTTGATCTGCAAAGGCACAGTTGTGAATGCTACTCTATGCCAGATGTTAGATGGGTGATACTTTACAGCTTAACAACTCTTTTCAGCAGGAAAAACAAAAACAAACCAAACCAAACAAACAATTGTAATGGGAGCAGTCTGTAGTATTTTTTTCACCAGATTTAAGAACAATCTGAGAAATCTTCTCTGAAGCAAACACAAAGGACACATGAAACTGTGTCTCTTATATTTCCCTGCTGTAAATGTGTGCATACACTCTCAGGATAAAGTTCAGGATTCATCCCACTAATGGATATCTGGACAAAAATACACTCTGAAAAGCTTGTTTGTTTCTGCTGTGATAGAAACCTTCAGAGTTACTGTGAAATGAAACTGTCATCCTTCAATCAGTTTTAATGTTAAGCAAGCCATGGTTGTTGAGTGAGTCTGTATGCATGACATCTCTATTTTGTCTGAGGCTGAGGCTGAAAATTATAACTGAAGACTTACAGAGCCAAATAGCACACATAAGACACACTCTGTCTTAATTATGCTAAAATATAAGAGTATTGGGCTGCTAGAAGAACAGAACAGCGATTTTTAAACTCCTCAGCAGTTGTGGCATGCACATGTGCTGTGCGCTTCCACCTGAAGAACAATGATTCACACTGTATGTGAATTGCATGTGCTTTGAAACAGGCATCCTACCTATGGTTTTTATTGTCTGTAGTGAAGAGCCCTTCTAGGACAAAATTCTGTTAGACTATCGACTTCAAGAAAGTACTTACAGGGCACATCTGAGTACTGCTGAGAGCAGTATAGATATAGTGTGCTGCTGTGCCTGTGCACTCTGCCCATCTGTTCTTGGCAACCAGTGCTGAGATCCTGGACTCTCTGTGTGGATCCAAGCCCATGAAGGCTATGTTGTGTTGTATTAAAAGCTCAACAGTGAATCATGGGGCTGTTCTCTAACCACAGTGGTTCAAAATCGACTCAGAGCAATTTACCACAGACTTCCTTTTAAGTCCAGATAACAAGAGTGCCTCAAATGTCAGAAGCTGCAGAGACGTTCTTGTGATGAAGAATTAAACTATTAAGCAATTATTGCAGAAGATAACGTAATAGAGATTTTCAGCCTGAAAGCTGGCTGTCATTATCCAACACAGGGAAGCAGCAAAATTTAGTTCTGGAGGAACTACAAGAAGACCACAGATTTGTTCATATGAGAGTCATTTTGTATAACTACAGACATTTGTAATACAGACATCTATGACAGACTTAGCTTACATTTTAGATATTTACCTGTAACACACAACTATAACACATTTTGTAAGCAAGTATTTTTCTTTAGAAGATACAAAGATGACAGCTCAGATGATGACACTATTGACTTTTATACGGAGGGAAGACATTTTATGTGCTTGCATCCTGTGAACACAATATATTGCACCCACAATTTCACAGTTAAATACAGGTTTTCAGGAACAAAAAAGATGACAAAGGGATACTACTATTGCAACACACTGGACAGGTAGGACAAGGATTTCTTCCTTCAAATATCCAAGCTGTTTGGAGCAATTTTAAAAATACAACCAAAAATATTTTATTAACGTCCCGTTCTGGGAAATATAATAAATGACAATTACTTTTAAAATATGTTTATCAAAACATTAAAGGACAAGCATTGACCTCTTTATGACATGTGAAATGGGAAAGTATTTTCCCCCAAAAAAATGATTTTAAGTAAAACTCCATTTATCTGTTACTCTCCTCCCAATCCATATGCAATTCTCAACTAACTGTGAAAGATGGATTAAATGGCTACATGTTTTTTATCATTATGCAAATCTTTCAGTGTTGGTATACACCGGAACTTTACAGAGTTTACAGTTAAACAGGAGAATCAGCCCATACCACAAGTCACAGCTAAAGCTCAACAAGCTAAAAATAGGAATGTTAACAAAAGCAAACAATAAACTGACATGCCTAGTGAATTTAAATGTTTATAATGAACATTAATTGATGTACTGTGGGGACCTGTCTTTACCACCAAGGCATATTATAATCTGCTAGAGTTCTAATTTCAGATATGGAAAAGGCCAGACAAGCCTGTCCCTGATTCAAACTATGTCACTCTCCAGCAAAGCTAAGTAGGACTTTAAAATATCTTCTTGACACATACTTACTAATCCACTAAATACATTGTGCTGGCCTCCAAGATGTCAGCAAGTTCTGAGTACCACGCTTAGTGAAAAGCCTTCCTGTTGTTACTTATTTGCTGAAGTTAGGAGAATGCTGGGTTAATTTCTAGAAGAGTTCATAACAGCCTCTGGTTAAAGTTCTATGGCGTATTTTTCTTTCTACCGCACTTTTTCTAAGATTGGATTGAATGCTAAATGTAGTATCATTGAAATGTAGGAATGTATATCCACTACAAAAATTGACTAAAACCAAATTACTTCCATTGAAGTAATAGTCCACTAACCATTGAATGGGCCTGTAGTATTGCCCATCAATACGAGATTGGATAATCCAAACTGGATTACACAAATTTACTACATAAACATAAAAGTCGCTTTGTTCACATTCATTATCCTTATAGATATTACAATTTGCAGAAGAAAAAGAGAGAAGGCAATAATAACAAAGAAATTCTTCTTTCATAAGAAATTAACTAAAAAATCAGCACCTTAACTATACCCATATCCCAGCCATACTAGTCTCTTTTCACAGCATAAGAAGTACCTAACCCAAAATCTTCCCGGCTGATTGCATCTAAGTGTTAACCATCTGCTGAAGAACACATGCAGTGCTTATCTGTGGAATAACTGTGGTTGTGATTAATACCTAGAAAGTTTTTTTTTCCTGTACAATCTAGGTCACAGCAACAACACGCTGAGTATGTGCAGAAGTCTTAAAATGGGTCCAGTGGATTTACCTCACTCAGGTGTCACTGCTGGCACCTAGTCAATCCAGACTCTTGAGCTGGAAGAAGCAGTGGTCATGTATCACTTGGAAATAACTTGCATTATTAGTCTAAATAGAAGCCTGATTTAGAAACTGATTTAGATTATTAGTCTAAATAGAAGCCTGATTTAGAAACTGATTTAGATGCCTCTCAACACTGCTTTGTAGGAATTATTGTGGTGTCCTAACCTTTCCATAAATATTTGCTCACTAGCTTTGCAAGTCTTCAAAGAATGTACCAATGATCATAATCAGTAACATATAAAAAAAGATAAGCAATCTCAGTGAGGTAGTTTATTTTAAAAGCTTACATCCTATTGTACCCTGATATCAGATAGCTATTGTCAATGAGTTTGTTTCTTCCTTAAGCATGGCAGAGAAGGACATTTGATGGAACCATTACTTAGATTCAGGTTCAAGGCTGTTCTCAGAATTTTTGGCAGACTTCAGCTCACTGCTTCAACAATTCTCTCACACTAAAATGGATAGACTGAGTCCTCATTCACACCCCAATATGTTCAAGAGTGTAAAATATTATTACTTTTTGAAAATATAAAGCAGTTATGTGTCTGTGCAAACTACGAATTTTTGATTTTAGAGCCTTACCAAGGTCCCTATAAACCTGTATATATGGAAAACTGTAGACATCCTGATTGGCAGACAGCAGCTTATACAACATGTACTTCTGCGGCTGCCCCAGATTTTTGGCCATTGTTGTTTTATACTCCTATCTCTGGCTGCCCATGTAAGTGTTCTTCTGTAGTGTAAATATGCCCATATTGTTTGTATCAAAGCTATTTGGAATATTCAATTACCCCTCAAGCACTGAACATTCTGGATTTGAAAAATTATTTTGTAAGAGTTCTTGCTGGAGGAGTGGCCGTGTCGTTCTGGAAGTACCTTACAGGCAGTATTGATCCTTTTGCTATAGCTACTGACTGTCATTGTCTAACTTATGCTTCTAAATCACTAAATCAGATGGATTTCTCCCTCACCTTTAGAAATCATGCCTATTAATTTTGGGCATGGGCCTCTGCACTGTGTTCTAGTGAATGAGCTCTCAACATATTCCTTCTTTGCTCCTCAAATACTTTTGGGATTGAGCATCTCTTAAAAACCCTCCATCCAATTACATTAATGAACACAAAAGGGATGTTCTTGTTCTATGCTTTAAAAATAGAATTCCCTAGAATTGATACTGGGATAGCACTCCTCATTGCATGAAGAGGGTCAATTTAGCAGGATGTCTAGGAAGGTAAGTAAAGCAGTCTTCGTGGCTCTTCCTTTTTTGTCACTTTTAAAAGAAAGTTAATGCTTGTTTCAGTCTTTGCATAACTAACCAAAATAACCTTAATAATTAAAATAAGATTAAAAAAAATAAATAAAAATACTGGGTTACTTTACCAACAGAGTTTTGTAGTTCCAAAACTTTTGGAATCATTGCTGAAATTTCTAAGGGGCTACAACAGAAACATGTTGACGTTCATTTACTCCTTCATCTAAAGGCCTTGCAGAGAGTGGCCTCATGAATCATAATTTGGGAACAACTGGCTTAACTGCACCTGTTAATGAATATCTCCTTGAATAAGGAGGCCACAGAGGTTTTTAACTGCACTGAATGCAGTTAAGCAACACTGTACAACTCTTACCAACCAAGAGTTGAATTTGGCCTGTGGCATGAAATATTTTGGAACATTTACTTCAGGAGTACTGATATATTCATCTTACCATCTTGTCATTTCTCAATTATGATAATTTACTTTAGTTAGATAAACCAAATCCACACAAAGACAGTTTGGATCTGGAAATACTTATCTCAAGGGCCTTGCCACAAGAACAGGATTGTGTTGTTCTCGGAATCAACTTTGATCCACATGGACCAATTCTGGATCCAAAAAACCTTGGAGGATACAAGGTGACACATTGCAGAACTCGTTAAGTAGTTTCTGTGACATGCTTTCTAGTCAATGCCTTAGGATCCCTATTTTCAAGGATTTTTGCATTATTTGTAATATCACAGTATGTCATTACTATAGATAGTACAGAGCTAACTCTGCTTATACTTGGCTTTGTTTTTGAAGGCCACTTGAATACTGGACTGCTGGACTTCCTTCTGTTTGGCAGTTTAATTGCCGCTGTGGATCCTGTAGCTGTTCTGGCAGTGTTTGAAGAAGTCCATGTCAATGAAGTTCTATTCATCATTGTTTTTGGAGAATCACTTCTGAACGATGCTGTAACTGTGGTAAATAAATTACATATCCCCAGGTCATCCGAATTCTAGGGGGTTTCTTCTGAAGTTCATTTTCACCTTAAATGAAACACTGTATCACCTGTGTGTATCTACTCATGGGCTAGTGGACAGTAGCTGATGATTTTCTCTGTCTTGCTTACAAACACTATTGCAAAGATTAAGTGCTTGAGCATGAAAGCTAGTTGGACCCCATAGGTCACATAAAAATACATAGTCCTGGGTTGGAAGAGCATGGAAAACATTTAAAATGAAGTTTCAGGTGTATGTGTTTCATTTGGATTTCATGACATACTGAATGGGATTAAAAGGGATTTTAAGCCTTTCTTTGCTGTTGATTTTAATGCACATAATCTTTTCTGTGTATTTCCATTATGTTCATAATTTGTATGCATACCTCAGATATATAAACAGAAAGAGAATACTCTTCAAAGTGCTTATGCTTGTTCCCATTCTTTTACTTCAATCAGATGTTTATCAAACAGATATCTAACAAAGAACCAATTCCAGAGAAATATGGGACATTTTAAAAAGTTTCTGATTAAGATAATTATTATATCTTATTATCTTATTTTATAAAGGTGATTGATTAAATCTGCTAAATAATTGGATTTTAGAATGAGAAGTAGTTTAGAAAACCCATCTAGATCTAACAGCACTTCTTATAGATGGAGTAATATCGAGCTAAGAAATGGGAAGTTGTGGGGGTTTGAAATTTGTTTTTTCTTGTATCACTGCTTTTTTTTCTATTTTGAAAAATTAAAAAAATCTCCAGAATCTTTGCTCTCCACACAGAATTTCCCTCTGTCACACATCATTTCGGAATTCAAAATGTTGGAACCCATAATGACATTATTGAAATATGGTTAATTCAGGAGCAAATATTAAGTTAGCCTACTTTTCTTTTCAGGTGCTGTACAATGTGTTTGAATCTTTTGTTACAATAGGTGCAGAGAATGTGACGGGGACTGAATGTGTGAAAGGCATAGGTGCGTAGAATTGAATTCCGTATCAAATCATTGATGTACATATGCAGACTTTTAAACAAAATGTTATTATTGTACCATCAGTAAAAGTTATTTTTCAGCCCTTTCCCTTGTCAGTCATATTCCCACATTCCTGTGACATAGATGAATGCCCTAAGGGAATAAATGAGTATTCCTGAATATTTGGGAACTTAATTAGATATTTTTTTCTGAGGAGGCTCAATAGATGTGCAGGTCACTTGTTAAGAACACCAAACTTGATGGCTGTACATATTTTCTTTCTATTTTATAATATGTTCTTAGTTTCACCCTATGCTCTCATTCCATGCCTGGAGAATTGAGATTGCATTTGGGTATTCTCACTCCTTATCACTGATTGACATCAAGCAATGTTTGCCAGTGATTATAAAATATTTGCTCACTCTCATTCCAAGCATGATGCAATACTACATTATCTTATGAATCAATGTTTTATCAATGACTATGGCATATTCTATAACGTGCTTTTGGAAAAGCACTTATTTACAGAACATGGGGGAAAAAATGTTCAAAGGAATGTAGTGAGTTTTGGATAAGCCTAAAATGGTAAGGCTTAACAGTAACCTTGTTTTTATTACAGAATCTTCGTTCACATAGGAAGCGCTGTAAGGCAATTCCTTTTAGAAATAATTGGTGTGTCCTCCAAAATTTTCTCTGATGTGCTAACCATAAAATAGAACTAGTTCAAACTGTTATGTTTCTACTGTTTAACCTGTGTTTGGTTTTGCCTTTCAGTGTCATTCTTTGTGGTGAGCCTGGGTGGGACACTGGTTGGCATTTTCTTTGCATTCCTGCTCTCATTGGTCAGTCGTTTCACCAAGCACGTGAGAATCATTGAACCTGGATTTGTGTTTATCATTTCCTACCTGTCCTACCTCACGGCAGAGATGCTTTCTCTTTCTGCTATCCTTGCGTAAGTCTCTTTTAATTACTGCTTCTGAAGGGGTTGGAAAGAGAGAATCATTTTTAAAAGCACTGAAAAGGAAGACCTAAATTATATAGGACAGCTATGGAATATGACACTCATGAATATTGTGCTGAATATTACTATCTTCACACTGCAGTAGATTGTAGTTTGTGAATATTGTCATTTAGGATTGAAAAGGAATGCAAGTTTTCCAGTATCTGCTGTGCAACATGAGAGTTTCCTGTGCAAAATACAGAATAGAATCTTTCCTTTTTGAGATTAATAATACTTCAATAACTACAAGTTGTCCATTTGGATTGACATCTTTCTCTATAATTTGTAATTAAAACCATATTTTTCTAAAGCATTATGTGAATGTCCATTATTTGCTTCTCTCACTGTCTTGACTGTCCTGTTAAGGTTTGCTTAAATCTTGCTTGGTTTAGCTTGAGTACCTCTGTGGACTTGCGTCTTTTAGAATCCATTGATTCTTGGCACCTTTCTTCTCAGTTTTGCTTGTCATATTGTAGATGCTACAGTGAGTATACTCAAGATCAGAAAATCTTGCTGCAAAAGCAGATCATTAGTTTAAGATAATGTCTAAAGTAAGCAAGGTTTAAAATTTTCCATGTAAAACTGTGTCACTCTGAAGAGAATTAAGGTCTGTTATGATGTAGTGAAATTCAGTCTTCAGACCTCTTGGCATCACCTGAGGGTGATAGTTCAAGATACGCATTTTACCTAGATTAGTCTCAACAGTGGCTCCTTAGGAATTAATGGTAGGGTTTTAGAAATACTATTGAATGTTGCAACAACTATTTTCTGAACATTTGTTTCTTTTTTTTTTTCTTTTTTTTTTTCCCCTAGGATAACTTTCTGTGGCATCTGCTGTCAGAAGTATGTCAAGGCTAACATATCTGAACAGTCTTCTACAACTGTAAGATATACCATGAAAATGATGGCCAGCGGAGCAGAAACTATTATCTTCATGTTCCTGGGAATTTCAGCTGTAAATCCAGATATCTGGACTTGGAATACAGCTTTTATTTTGTTGACTCTGGTCTTCATCTCAGTATATCGAGTTATTGGTAAGGGGATGAGCTTCCTTTTTTGTTGATATAATCATATATTCTTTTGCCAAGAAAATAAAAAAAAGGGGGGGGATTCTAGACTTGTTCCTTTTAAAGTATTCAATTTATTGTGGTGGAATTTATGTTTGGTTTTGGGTTAGGAGGATAGATCTCTACAGTAAGCTTTATCATATGCTGAAAATACACTAGAATTTCACTTTTGATGATGCATGAGGATATGACTAGACCAGTAGTTAAGATCAATCAAGCTGTGGCTGACCATTGTTGACCCAGCACATTGTCTTGGCAAAATCTTGCAGTGAAATGGACTTTGTTCTTTATTAGGCAGCTTAACAAAATATGTGAGTCTGTCAGCCATCTCTTTCCTTCAGCTCTTTCAAATTGGTAATAAAGAGATTATTTTAAGCTAATTTTAGGGTTAACTTCAGGTTTGAGATACACAGTGGTATCAGGTCATACATAATTACACCACATTTTTGAGTTTAGAAATAATTAAGAAACAAGAAGCTGTCTTCCTCGTGTATGGTGGGAGCTCTGGGAGACATGAATTCTGGAGCTTTAGGTCTCCTACAGTAAGCAGCATCTCATCTGTAGGCCTGAAGACAGTATTACCATAACTACACAACCCTCCATATTACAATACCATCAATGTCATTTTTAGAGATTTGTAAAGAGTACTACGCTGGCTCCCTAAATAAACACTGTTTCAACTCTGTTCTCCTTCTGTTAAAAGACACTGTGCATATCAGTGACTATGGTGCTAGAAATTCTGTTCTTTACCAACCATGAATTTCAAAGGTTATCACATAACAGAATTTCACCTGTAGTGCCTATGCCAGATGGCAGCACTCTCAGAAGTGCTGCTGGCCCACAGAACGAGCTTCATCTAACTCCTTTGGCTGAACGTTGGTACCGAGAGGGCCTGCCCTCCTTGGAAATGCAGCAATGCAGAGGGAGAAGTAGATGGTGTAGAGAATTTGTTATGAAAGCAGACTGGTGATACTGGTTTTTTTGCACACAATTGGGTTATTAAAATTTCATAAGGCTATTTCTGGACATGCTGGCTTTTTTTTTTTAATAGGTGTAGTTTTACAGACATGGATTCTTAACCACTACAGAATGGTCCAGTTGGAAATAATAGACCAGGTGGTGATGTCATATGGTGGACTACGTGGAGCAGTTGCTTTTGCTCTGGTTGTACTTCTGGATGTGGAAAAAGTGAAAGAGAAAAACCTGTTTGTCAGCACAACCATCATTGTTGTGTTTTTTACTGTTATTTTCCAGGTAATACAACTTCTTAAGTATGCTTCTTGCAAGGAGAAGGAGTCCCCCAAAAGTACTGAATGCTTAAAGCAGTTCTCAGCTGAAGGTTGCGTATTGTTTCACTGAACTGAAAGCATAATTGAATTTGTAATTTTAGTAACAAAGATCCTATTTTATGTTTTCATATGGCACCACAAGGGACAAAACACAATTTCCTCTGTGCTAAAAAATGTTCAGTCTTAGCTGCTTGGTATTAATAGTGCTCAAGTTAATATCTGATTAAACATCCTTCACCTCATATGAATAACTATAGGGAACAGTCCTTTTTATGGGCAAATACAGTCATTAACCTGATCTACCTGAGCCTAATTCCTTGTTTTTAAACATAACAGTATTTAAATATGAGAGTGAGACAAGAAAGTATTTCACATCAAAACAAAACAGTATTTTTAGGATGAAAAAAACAACATTAACTTAAATGCAGATATGTCTGCATAACCGGACAGGAATTTTTTTCTCAAGTTTATTATAGAAAGTTTAATTGTGGTCGCAAACTCCTGATATGTGTAGAAAATAACAGTCAGTGGTACAGGAAACACTTTAACCCTTCCACTACCATACTTTTCTTATAGAAAATATATTTTTGCACTGGTTGGTATCTTTTCAAACCTTTGTAACAGGAGCTGAGGGTACTGCATTATTTTATCTTCTAAAGAGGACAGAGATCAGCTGAAGAAATACCACCATATGATATACAAAAAATGCTCTACCTCTCTTTAACAACAACCAGCTGGAGGAAAATCTAAGATCCTTCCTATGTATTTCTTATCGTTTTTCAATCCTTAGGGACTCACTATCAAGCCTTTGGTACAGTGGCTGAAAGTGAAGAAAACTGAACACAGAGAGCCAAAACTGAATGAGAAACTTCATGGCAGAGTAAGATTTTTAAACAAAACTGTAGGATCTTCTGGATTTTTATGGAGTGCCCCAAGGGGAAAAAAAAAAATAATTCTTTTTGGAAGGGAGGGGAGAATCAAATTTCAAGTGCAAAATCCTTCAAACACTTCAGAATTTTTCTGTAGGTTGTAATTTGGCTTTGGGTTGGGTCCTGTGAAGGGATACTCAACTGAAGGTTCTGGTCTTTCACTTGACAATTCAATGGGGCTGACAGTACTGGTGAAACAGCATGGCTGGAATATGCTTCTTTCTCTTCATCTAAAAGGGAGTGGAGAACTTTCAATTGAAGAACTCTAGGGCAAAGCATGTGGAAGTAAGCTTATATTTCCTTCCCAAACATTGTTTATTTATGGAAAAGGTATGAAAGCAGGCTTTGTAGCTTGCATAATACATAGAAAGGTAGTCTGCTGCCCAGTGCAGATGTTAACTATATAGTGAAATTCCAGATTAATGGTAATAGTTCAGTGCGAAGTCTGGGTTTGCCCCCTTTTGTTTAACCTTTTGAAACATTTTGAAACATCATCTCTTCCAATTGACTTTCACACAATATTGCAAGGTTTTTATTCAGTAGAAGAAAACACATCCATTTTCAAGACAAATATAGGTTAGAAGATGGAAGACTATAAGACATCTTATATAAGTTAAAAGATGGAAGACTATAATACATCTTTTATGGTCTTCTTTAATTAATAATCTTTTCAGATTTACACAGCTATCCTGCATTAAGTATTTTAACATATTCTTGTATGAACTTCTAATCTTGTCTGTTTTCATGCTGGACGTCACCTGAAGTGAATTAACAACTTAGTGATGGACAGGGCTTGTTTCTGATTCATTCTTTTGCAGTCTACTGAATAAATACATTGTGGTTTTGTTATTCAGCAATTCAAATTTCCATTTCCATTCAAATACCTTACTATCTGAAAATCATGATTCTTTCCCAGTCACTCTACATTCATGGTATATACCTTTACGTGACACTTAGTAGTGCAGGCTGAGCAGCAATGTTAATTCTAACACTTTGCAAAGTTGTACGTACTGATTTACCACTTCCTAGAGTATCCTAGCACATGGTGTCTCAGGAGGCACAATGCTCCTAGAACTGTATAAACTGCAAACTTCAGAGAGAAGGAAGCACCGTCTGTTCTCAGGGAGGAGGAGGGGGAGAACTTATTGTAATATCATGTTCTCCATTTCCATGTCAGATATCTCCTGAGGCAATGTTTAATATTATTTTCAGGAAAAATCCATATCATCCATGTTCTGCTAAAGTTAGCATGCTGTATATTCTGCAATAAGCACTCCAATATTCAGAGTGAAATGTAAACAACCATATATAGAAAAAGACTAAATTCTACCTGCAGCTGCCCTGGCTTGAATCAAGAGCTATAAACTCAGGATTTCTGTCAGCTATCTAATATACTCAGTATGGAATTTTGCCCTAGATATCAAAAGAATGGAGCCTACTTCAACTGTGACAGACATATGGATTCCTCAAACATCTAAAAAGGAACACTAGGGACTATTTTCAACTGAGTTAATCACCAACACAAACAGTGGCTGATGTACTTCATAGGGCAGAAATGGAGATGGCAAAAGGAGTTGAGAAAAAGAGTTTTAAAATTCAATGTTTAAATGGGGGACCAAGTACCTTCTGGCTGAGACTCTTGTAATTAAAAAAATAGTGAATTCGTAAAGAACTGGTTAGAAAGTTCAGGACCTTTGAAGAAAAGCACACAGTAGTCATAGTAGTTGGTATTTCAGTAAATGGGAGAAAAAAATCTGCTTAGCAGCAATAAAATTATTTTGCATAGTCACCTGGTCTAACCTGACATAAATTTAGCTGTTTTCTAATTATGCCTTTTATTCCTGTAAAGATATTAATTCCACTTTCACTTTCCTAGGCCTTTGATCACATTCTTTCTGCGATAGAAGACATTTCTGGACAAATAGGACATAATTATCTGCGAGACAAGTAAGTAGTAACTAACTCGTTATGTTGAAATATTGCTAGAAAATCTTATCTGTAAATTACAACTTTTTAAGCCTCTGAGTTTAGAGACAAGAAGGATATCAAATGTAGCTGAGAAGGTTGTATGCTAAAAATGCTGGAAATACAGCAAATGTGAAAGCAGGGGGAAGGGCTGGCCCCTACAACTGGACCCTTTTTCCTTTTTCCCCACAGTTAAGATTAGGCCTTCACAAACGCCTCAGTTCACATCCAGGGATCAGTTAGTCTCAGGATTTGAGAACTGGTAATTTGCACAAGATTTTAACTAAAATGTCAATGTTGGGCCTTCTCTGTAGTACTCCATTTCATGAACATTATTTGTGTGTGGAGACACTAAAAAACAACAGCTAAAACTGTCCCAGTTGTTTGTTCTATTTCTACAGATAATGTGTTCAATGCTTCTGAAAGTGATGGCTGAGGGTGCTTGGAAATTACTCTAATAGTTTAAGCCTATTAGTTTGAAACCAGCAATGAAAATTGCAGGTCATTTCTACCTTCCTCTGTTTATAGCTGATTCATCTTGAGATAAGCAAAATTACTCAGCTGAGAGGTACAGGCACCATTTTCTTTAAATTACACATGAAGAGTTGCCACTGTGATGGGCAGACTTCCATAATCTAGATGAACAAATGTGAAAGAAAGACATTAGTCCTGGACATCTTTAAGAGTGTTAAGGTTAGGCAGTTCCCTGCCTGAAGTTAGGTCGTTACACAGGTATAGACAGTCACAGTTCTGAGCTGCTAATGTCCTGCTGACTCAACATGTCCATGCTAATCCAAAAACCCATGTGGTTCTGCAGAGCACCCTGCTAGCCCTTCCTGAGAAGCCTGAATATATTAGCTTAGGCTTAGCATTATGTTTGCACAACTATAAAACTCCTAGGCTGGATATAGATTGTTCCTATAACTGGTGAGCAATTCTGCTTGAGCTCAGGTACAATCTCCTTCCTTTCCTTTTGCTCTTTGTTCATTTATGCATCAAAGAATTTTCATGAGTTATCCCAAATAGAGCATCCCCTTTCTTTTCCTCTGAATTTTTAGTTGAATTTTTGGGAATTAATTTCAGCAGGCAGGAATACATCCCCAGATTTGAAATACTGTCATGAAGATGGAGCTAAATATTTTTCAAATGGCATATTTTTTATTTTTAATATATTTTTAAATGGCTTCTTAAATGTCAGAAAGTAATCTCCCTGAGTAACAAGAGGAGTAGCTTAGTGTGGATCCTTGGTTGAGTGTGTGCTTTGATAACTAATATATTCTAAATGAGACCACCTTAAATCTGCTTCTTTTGGACTGTATGTACATGAAAGTGATGCTTCCTCAAAGAAAAGTCTCTAGCATCCCTAGTGATGGGCTTAGGTGTGGCAACTTGAATTAGAGATTGCTTGTCAGATATTCTCCCTAGAGAAGAGGAATAGTTATCAAAGCAGTGAATGATATTTAACAACAAGAAGGTTTCAACAATCTGAATAAGAAGCTATAAACTCAAAATAGCCATTGGGCAAGGCGGATAGGATCACTGAATAGTACTCTTAAAAGTTGCCTCATTGCCCTGTAGAGAAATTCTTGAGGAAGGTCAATGAAAGTAAAGCAGCCTTTATCTTCTGGAGCCTAAAGATGAACTGGCAGATATCCTGCTATCAGACAAGCTTGGAAGTGTAAATAACAAAATACACATCACTTCTATCCCCCACAGTACATCAATGGCATGAATAAAGCCCTTTTGGGTTGTGCTTTTGGAAGGACAATGATTTTCTGCACTGGCTGTCCTGCAATACAGCTGGGGAAAAGCAGATTCCCTTCCAAAAGAGGAAGGAAAATTAAACTTTTAGAATGAAGCTATTAGATACAACTGCATAATCAGAAGTGAAATAATGAGGTAGCATAATCTCCCAAAGTATAAAATGTTCTAGTGACTCTGACATAGGATATTGTAATAATAGCACTCTTGCTGTTGTAGTAGTGTTTGGTAAGTGAAGCTATCAAAACCTTTGTGACAGCTGCATAGCTCTGTAGCAGGCTTTTCCTTAACTTTCTTTAAATGCTAATGGGAAAGACTCAAAACACACATCCCTCACATTGCTATTTTCACCATTTAAAAAAAAAATGCTTAGCTCAAAAAAGTATCATTTATGTTAAACTGAAAATTATGTGAAACTAAAATTACTTGTTGCCATTAACACAGTTCGTTTAAATCATCAGGTGGTCCAATTTTGATAGGAAATTCCTCAGTAAAGTACTGATGAGAAGGTCTGCTCAAAAATCAAGAGACCAGATCCTTAATGTTTTCCATGAGCTCAACTTGAAGGATGCAATTAGCTATGTGGCTGAGGTACTCATGAACACTTGTTGACATGTTATAGCATCATTTGGCTTTGTGGTTTTGTGGAGTTTTTTGGGTTTGTGGGTTTTTTTTTTTGTTTAGTTTTTTTTTGGGGGGGGGGCAGTTATTTATCATGCAAAGTTGATATATTACAGGAGATGTCTAAAAGAAAATTATTTTCATTTCTGCTCTGCTTTCTATTCCTAAATGTGTTATGAGTCCCAGTATCACCTGTTTCAGTGGCTGCAGTTCTCGGTATTATGCCTGATCCCCAAGAATGATATATTGTACTTATTATTGTACTTATGTCAGTGTACTTTTCTGTTGGGTTTTACTGATTAACTTTGTTTCTATATTTATTGCGTTAAAAAAATACTGTAATTCCAAAAGGATCAGGCAAACTACTGTCTGTCTAAATGTGTCAGCAGTCTGTCTCCTGCTGAATAGTGGTTCTATGTTGTTGACAAATCTGAATTGAAGAAGCTTACTTCCAAGTGGTGTGGATATATGACCAACGTAGTGGACTGCTATAACCCCCTTCTGCCAGATCACAGTAACACACCCCCAAAAAAGAAGACTGGGAAGGGTAATTTTAATTCAATGAAATCATAACACCCACAGTTCAAAAATTAGGGTTAAAGTACCACAGATATCAAACACAATCACAAAATTGTGAAGTTAGAGAAACTAAAGTCTTGTTACAGGAGACATTTTAAAAGTTACAGAACAGAAGAAAATTACTGGTCTTCTGCAGGAATACTATTCTAGACTGGAGCAATGTTAACAGGTCGTGTAAGAATTCCTAATCTTTCTCAGTGTGAAACTGACCACTTTAGTTCAAATCACCACAAATATGCAGTATTCATACAGTGTAGAGGATAGTTTTAAACACAGTATTTTAAACAATAATCTTTGAAGTGATCATCTACCTATGCCCATAACCTCCAACTGAACTCATTATCACAGTCAGGTAAAATATCAGTTAACTTCTTTAATTAAAATAAACGCTATCATTGTGACAGAATCCACTACTAATACTAGTTTCTTTTTAAAAAAGTTGAGCTACAGCCAGGCAGACTTCTTCTGTGAAACATGGAATTTCAAAAATCAAATTCAGAAAATAAGATTAAATTCAGAAATTATATTAGTGTGAAAAATGGGGAATAGTTCACAAGATAAGTAAAGACTTCCTGTTGAGATTTTGTAAATTGCCCCTTCAGTTTTCATGCCATTTGAGCTTAAGAACTAATTTTTTTTCTTGTGGTGCTTTCTGGGTCACACCTTAGAGGAGGAAAGTTAGATAATAACTTTGATGCTGATGAGCATGAGGCTTATATTCTGATTCACCGCTGAATTTGTTTAGAGCCTACTTCTTAATGTCACTGACCTGATCCAACACACAATATTGTAACATGTATGTGGGCTATCACGGTAAAAGGCAACACTTTTTTTTCATTCACTCTGTGAATGTAAACATGTAAAGGGAACATAGTATTGTTAAAAGTTTTGTCTTGGTATATTCTGCTATGCTATGTGATTTCTCTCTCCTGTTATGCAAAACTATAGATGGGTTCAACCTATGTAACCACAATGTCACTCAACAGCTACCTTTCACCTAAACAAGGTATTATGCAAGCAGTAGGGAAAACCATGAAAACATAAATCTGATCTTTTCCAGCAATTCAATTCTGACATGTTTCAGAACTGAAAGCAAACCTCATCTCTTCAGTATCTCATCTCCTCGTTCCATAACCTCCTTCCAATAGTCTTGTAGACTTCTACCTGCACTTAAACTTTATTGCTTCCAGCCTTGTAAAAAACAGAAAACTTAGTATTGTATCCTTGAAAATGGTACTGTTAATGAAGAGATGTGTTGAGTTGTAAAAATCTGCATAGATATCCCTATGTACTTAGTTTGCAATGTGGTACAAAGTGGAAGGTCCACCTCTGAAAGAGTCTGTGAAGAGGAAAGAGACTGCAAAAGTGCAAGGATATAATTCGTAAACAGATTTAAGCCTAAGAAATCATTCGCATCTTCAGAATCAATTTACAAGAGTGGAATAGCTTTTCTCTTTGCTTTGTTCATTGGCACATTACTTAATGTAAAGCAACCATACCACCAAAAACTGGTTTGTATTAGTTAACCAAACACAATTTCTCCCCTGCTTCTTGTGCTATTTGCATACAGCAGCCTCAAATTATGTACATTTTCACATACACATTTTGCCCTAAGTGTTTACAGCTTTCTTTCTGTGGCCAGGGAGAACGCAGAGGTTCCTTGGCATTTATACGCTCTCCAAGTACAGACAACATGGTGAATGTGGATTTCAACACCCCACGTCCAAGTACTGTGGAAAGCTCTGTCTCTTATTTACTGTAAGTAGTAAGGACCAACTGGGGTGGGAAGGTTGGGGGGGTGGGTGGGTGGTGGAAAAAAACCCTTGCTCTTTCCTTAAATTTTTCATGATTCTGTCACCCAACAGACTACGTGTCATGTAAACTGAGATATAATGCTGCACCCACACAAAAGATGAAAAATTCTAATCTTTTCACATTTCCCTTCCATTTGTTCACTCCTTTTTATTTAGCTGGTTTGACCTTTCCTTTTTTCTTCTTTTCCTTTTCATCCCCATTTCTTCCTCTCATTCCACATTTTCCTGTTTTTATTTCCTCTTCAGCAATTACTGATTTTTAAAACTGCTGTCTCTATATTGTATTCTTCTTCAGGAGAGAAAAAGCTGGACCAGTGTGCCTTGACATGCAAGCTTTAGAGCAGAGGAGAAAAAGTATCCGGGACACAGAAGACACAGTTGCTCATCACACTCTACAACAGTACCTGTATAAACCTAGGCAGGAGGTGAGAGCAGACTGGACTGTTTTCCAGTCTAAAACAGGAGACATTAGGAATCAAAACTTGGGAGTGAAACTCAAAAGGAAAGAACTCAACTGTAAAATCTGCACCTTTGAGGAAGATAGGCTTTTTGTCTATATTCTTTCTCATTTATGAACATGCCTCTTGTACAGAGCTGTATCCTTGATTTCCTGGGGCCAGTGGAATGCAGAAATGGATCCAACACAAGTTCTGAAGCAGGATTAAATGGAGTTTATCAATTGAAGTGATTCAGACATTTATAGGGAGAGGCTTACTTTGAATGACAATTGCTCTTACATATTTAAAATTCTTGGATTTATACCTCTTTCATGGTAAAGAAAGAAAAATAGAAGTTTCATTAATGCTCTCAGGCTAGTCTTTGGTTCATCTTTTTTATGGAGTTGTTTATATTTGCATGACACTGATTAAATGCACTGATTTAGGGCTTCCATTTGTTTTTTTTTAATAAATTAATTGTCTTTCCTTCCTGGCCACAGCATAAACACCTGTACAGTCGACATGAGATCATGCACAGTGAAGATGAGAAACAAGACAAGGAGATTTTCCATAGGACAATGAGGAAGCGCTTAGAATCTTTCAAGAGTACCAAACTAGGAATAAACCATCCCAAGAAGCTCAATAAAATTCACAAGAGAGACCGAGGACAAAAAAGGGTAAAATACCTTCATAAGGAACCAGATGTAGGCATGGAATAGGAAGGGAGCACTGAATGGTCTTATGTCCTGCATTTATCTCTGTCCTATATAACTTCATGAACTTAAAGGGCCTAAACAAGAAGAGATTAAACCATGAGATAACTCTAGGTGCATCTTCCCACATGCTGCCCTTCTCTGTGCTTTACAACACTTGCGGGTGAAAGAGTTTGGATCATTTGAAAAACAAAAGACCATGAGCCACACTACAACACTGGGGAGATGTTGCAGGGTAGCAACATCTAGTACTAAGCTATAGTAGCACTATAGTATTGAGTATTCCACAAAATTTGCAGGAAACTAAGAGGTAACATACATCATACAAAGAACCAAAGTTCCTTTCTTTTCCTGTAGTGAGTACAAGTGTTGGGGAGAAACTAATGATATCCCTATTGAGTCTCAAGCAAATATTACAACACATTTCAGCATTATGATGCTGAACTCATAATTTCAAAGGATTCCACATCCACATACCATTGCTATCTGATGATGGTAGCATTTTTGGTAACTTTTTTTGTTTTCTTTCAGCGAAACAGCAGTGTCATACCAAATGGAAAAATACCTTCAGAAAATCCAGCACAAGATTTTACTTTGAAGGAAAAAGGTAAAAAGACTCTTAGACCGATTTCATTAAGTGCATTTTACCAGCTACCTAGTCAATGAAATGTCACTGAAAATTCTTGTTATATGCAACAATGGAGCTGGCATTAAAAAGACTTCTAACCATAACTCAGACCTAAGAGTGGGGATCTGCCCCATGCTTAAATGCAGTGTCTTGACAATATAGAAGTTGTTTCTCTAGGTAGCTTGACGGCAAGTCAAGTTTTAATTGGCCTTTTTAGTCTTATTAAAAATTTCACATTTCAGTTTTGAAAACAAAAATGTTGCAGTAATTGTAAAATAATATGTATCACTTAAAACTGAAATGTGGTCTAAAAGCCACTGAACTCTTACTGTGTTGTTTCTTCTGTTTCTGCATGCAACCCCTTTATCTCAAAGAAAATTGAAGTAGAGAGGTATTCATCTTTTCTTAATGCTCCAAGCAAAGACATTTTTCTTTATTATGTACTTTGAATCATTTTCTGAGCGTATTTTTGTTTGACTGAGAGAGGCAATACAGGCTGGCTGAGTAAGTGTAATAACCTAGAACCTTTTTGCATGGGAAGAGCTTTCCAAATACTTATAAGTAGGTCATTCAACACTGTCTTGTTAAAGAACATTGTATATAGGTGTCACCCCCTACTTAAAAAAAAATAATCTCCATTGAAAGACAGTCTTAATAAGCTTTTTTGTAGCTGTTATAAAACTGATTCTTACTTCTACTGCAGTAGAAGTAGTACTGATGTCACCAGGTTTGAAATCAGTCACAATACTAAATGCTGGCCTCTTTCAAATGATGAAAATGCAGTGACTGCTCATGGTAACAGAATGACATTTGTCAGCATCATTTAATCATGAGTGTTTAAGACACAAAACACAGTAGCAGTGGTGCCATGCCATGCCATAGATTGATTTGTTTCAGTCCCAGGAAAGCAGACAGTTCTGAAGGCCAAAAGTTTAACCAGCATGTGAAATCTCTCTATTATAGCACCAGGTAGTAACATAAGCCGGAAACCTGTGCTGAGTTTCATGGTGTAATTGGTATCTGTGTTGCAAACTCTACATATATTCACATTCCCATTTAAGTGCTATGACTTAAGTGCTATGATTAATCTTTACCTTTATCTAGATCCCTGTTAAGATAAATTTTTGATAACGATGCCAGCAACAGAACAGCATGATAACTATGATAGCTGATACAGATCTCTAATCAAACTGGACTTTATTCTTTTTCCAGATTTGGAGTTTTCTGAATCAGAAGAAAATGATTATGAAACTTTGCATCTAGGCAAAGGAGTTGACTTCCTGGCTAATGTGACACAGCAAAATTTCACAGATGCTCCTACTGGTAAAAATATTAATTACCTACAAAGTTGGGGTTTCTTCTCTCCATTGTGAAAACAAAAACGACCCAGAAATGCTGCCAATTTAGTTGTAAATGTTGTTTTGATTTGTTGTGTTCTATTAGAAAAAATATTTGCTTAATGTTAATTATAACAGATAACAAGTTTTGGATATTTGGAGGTATGGAGTGCATCAAATTTGCTAGTGATAGAGGTTGTGAGCATGACTACCTAAACCAGTCCTAAACCCACTAATTATTTCTAGCAGCAGAAATGTTATTTTAGAGTTGTCCTACCTCATGAGACCAGTCAATACTAGTCTTTTGGAATGGTTTTCTACTTGCACTTTGTTGTGATAAACTTCATGCTTTTTCTTTCAGGCCAGATTTCTCCTCTTAAATTCACAACTCCTTCACTTCCTTACAGGCTCATAGAAGTCACTTGAAAAGCGCAGATTTGTAGTATTCCTGGAGCATTCATTGGACTTGATTTCCAGCCCTGAAAAGCTCCAAAATATCAGATAGTGTATTACTGTATATAACAGAAATTATATGTTTTATAAACTTTTAAGATTTATTATTTCTCTTTAGCACTTTTGTATTTGAATTTTCAGCATGCCACTTATACTTCATTTGTAACATGGTGCATACAGTGAAGAAAAATACTTGTGTCTGTATTTTTTGGCAGATATAGCCTTTTCACTGTTCCATGACAAATTCTATGTTGGAGAATGTATAAAGACATCCAGAAATCAGTCCAGAAATAAGTGGGCGACAAGATGCAGACCTAGACTAATTTTTAAAATTTCTTTTTCTGTTCAAACACTAGAAAGTTAATATCTATATTACAAGGCCCGTGTAACTTACTTGTGACTGTTACGTGGCCTGCTTGAGCTCTCTCATACACATCTGAGTCCTTTTATGGAGTTCTGCAGTTTATGCTTTTGCATTTTTTTTTATCCCCCTTTTTTAATGGCTTTGATTTGAATTTTCTGCAGATATTTTTATTGTGCTTTATTTTGCTTAAAATTTTCAGACTCATTTCTACTTTTGTTGATTTTGGTTTTTGTCTCCAGATATCCCAAACATAACTGCATATTGAATATAATATCCAGATTTTCTCTTTAATAGAAATCCAATATTACTAGTAATAACCAAGGTAGAAAGAGCAATCTGTGTGTGTATAATGGTCCCACCTATACTGGCATGTATCGGTCTATTTTTCCCCCCATTACAGCTATTCTTTTACAAAGCATCTTGCTGTGTATTACCAAGAAATCATTTTCATTAACTGTATTTGTCACTCATTAACTTTTTTTTTAGGAATTGATAACCCAGTATTTTCAGCTGATGATGACCAAAGCATCTACACAAAGTTCTCACCATGGTTATCTAGTGAAGACACGGTGGTACCATCACAAAGGGCCCGAGTGCAGATCCCATATTCTCCAAACAACTTCAGACGGCTCACACCATTCCGGCTCAGCAATAAATCAATAGATTCCTTCCTGCAAGCAGATGGACCAGAGGACCGACCCAGATCTTTTCTCCCAGAATCAACACATATGTAATATTGTAAAATATATTATCACTTTTGTTTTTAATCAGCCTTCTTATCAAACCTAATTACTGACAAGTAAACTTACTTTTCTGAATTTTCTCCTCACAGAGCACCTCTTTCCTTCCTGATTTCTTCAGACAACTAAGTATCTTCTATTTTCCTCCAGCCTGAATAACAAAACAGCTTTCATTTTCTTTCTGCAGATCTGTCAGACTATTTGGGGTCCAATGCCTTGCTGTTTTTATAAGGGTCCTGCTCTTTGCTTTGGCTTAAATGCCAAGAAAATAGCATTCCAAATACCAGAATATTGTGCAATCATTTTCAAGAGGTTTCAGGTTTCTGGATTAGTGAGCTCTAGATGACAACATTTGTACCTGGATTCCCTCACAGTGATCAGGTACTCTTTAAACGGTGATCAGTCTTTTTGAGTAACACTATCACTGCTGTCTGCAAATGTCAGCAAAGTAGTCTGAAGCCCCAGAAAGACAATACAGTTGCTGATACCAAAGGATATGGTTTGCCCATAAGAAGTCAGATGAGTCATTTAACCATTGGACTCTATTGCATTTGGTTGTACAATAGGAGCAGCAGGGCTAGACCAGCAATGGGCTGGGCTAAGTTTTGCATTCTTACCGTTTTTAGAATATGATTTTGACTCTATTGCTAAGAAGCCTTGAGGCAGTTCTGAACATTTGTCCTGGTTATTTAGCCATTGATCAGGAAGGCAAAATCGTCCCACTGCTACAAAACAGGTATTTCATGACAGTGCTAATGTCATCATTAAAATACATTAAAAAGAGTTTAAAAATTAAGCATGTTTACTAGAATGTGTCAGAGTTCCCTTGCACAGGTAGAGATGATTACACAACAGCCATACTGTGGGGAAGCAGAATTCTATTTTTGGTTAGAACTTTATCGTTACACTGTAGATTTATCTAAATCCATACCCTATTTTGAAACCAGACACATGGTTAGCTTTCTGATGCAGTAAATAACTTATTGCTTCCAATATATTAGAGGCTTAAAATTAAATTGACTGTGAGTTTAAATGAATATGCTAGCTGCCCTTGAATTCTTGCTCTATGGCAATTTTTCACACCATAAAAAGGAGCCTCCACTTCTGTAATCAAAACAGTCAGTGCTGTAAATTAGGTGGGTCAGGCCACAGTTCAAACATCATAATTGAATAGAACATAGGGCACTGAGGGGATTATGCAGTGAGATGCAACAGTCAGTTTCATCATTAATTTGCTTTTGTGGAATCCATGACCACAAACATGTAATCTAGTGTCCTTTATGCACCAACAAATAAAGGAATGTGGTAAGCTGAAACTACTTCTGTAGTTAATTGATGAAAGTTTGTTCAGACAAAGACCTCAGGATTAAGAGTCAATGATGTTTTTATCTGAGAAGAGCTTCATAACCTTTTGAAAAGAAATAGAAAAAGAGGTTATGTTTTTCTGTTCTGGCCTCTGTCCCTGCAAGAAGATGTGCTCATTCAAGTGTAATTACAAAAAGCATGTTGCTTTCTTTACTGGAGGAACCTGTAAGTCTGTGGTTGCTTCTACTATTCAGTTTCTTATTAATGCATCTTTGCTTATTATGATGTTTTAAAATGAACAGGGGATTAATTAAAGAACTATGAATTAAATTCCCACATCCTGATCGACAACTTGAACAATGACCAGCATTTTGAAAGGAAAACTTCTCCTTGACACTTATCCACATTGAAATTCCCTTCACTCTTTTTCCCCACTGAGAACATTGCCATTAAGTATTGTTATATGACTTGCTGAACATTTTCTTGCTAACTTTTGTTCTTTTCCTCTATTCTAGTGCCTTATTTATAATTGACTTTATTATTAGGAACCAGTATATGTAAGGTCTTGTGAGGGTATCTTTGATATATCAAAATCACTGGGGTTTGACTGCTTTGTTTCCTAAGAAGTATTTTGGGAAGTTAGATTTCCCAAGCTAATAAGCTTAGACCTTGAATACTCTCTGAAACAGTCCTCTGAATTATCTCCTTAATAAAATTCTCCTAACAGGAGGATGATACTGCAATTCCAGTTAAAAGGTTTTGAAAAACAACATAAGCTGGAAGCCAAGGGTGGAAATCTCAAGTCTCTCCACAGAAAAACATATCATAGGTTCTGGGCAGTAAGGAACTGACTCCCTGGTGATAAGCTCGGCTACCTGATTGAAAGAGCATCACCTTTTTTTTTTTTTTAAGTTTCTGAAATATTTCCTTGCTGAGCATCAGGACCCTAATGACCAGATGATGGCTCCATGCCCCAAATGTCTGAAACAGGCAGTTGTTCATCACAGACACTCAAGTTTTGCCTGATACTTTGCAAGGATAAGAAGTTTAATAAACTCACTTCAAGTCGTCAACAGTAGAAATCGGGACAGGGTACAGCTCCCCAAGGGAAAAAAAAAAAAGGGGGAAAAAATAAAAATAAACCACCAACTTTCATAAGACTTTCATAAAAATAGCAAAAGGCAAACCAAAACTAGTCAGTATCTTAGAAACAGAAAGTGTGTATTACAACTGTTTCTATTTAATTGTGTTCTCTAGGTGATATCAACCATGACGTTGAAATGACAGAATACTCCTCTTCAGATGATCAACTAAACCAAACCGAAGGTGTTTCAGTGAATCCCCTCCACTTCTTCCCATCATGTCTTGAGATGCCTTGGACACAAAACTATTCTTCACTGGAAAACAGAGGGAATGTATCTCTTCCTACTGTCTCTGAGTATATAGCTTCTTGTGACCCAAATGTACCTGATCTCTTCTGGGAATCAGGTACAGATACGAATAACAAAGAGACAGTAAACTCAGGTTATTGTTCTGAAGTTAACTACAAATCACAGAATTCACAAGAAGATAATTCCTTACTTATGTTTGAAGGGCTGGAAGACTCTTATGTGAAGGAGCCCCAAGAGAAGAAATTGTTGCTTGACACACAAGGAAACTACAGATCTGCTGCCAGACGTGTACAAAGCCGACGTTCTTTTCACAGGCCAAAACCTCTGCAACACCCTAAGCTTCAGAAGCTAGCATCTCTTCCAGCATCTTGCCATGTCCCTCCACATTCTTTGGAACAAGAAGAAACACAGTTGTGAGCCAACTTTCTCATTGAAAGGAGAAGATGAGAGAGAATAACTTAAACAAGGGGCTTCTATAAAAATAGAAAGCAACCTATTGGTTCATGAAGTCTGCTCTAGAACGATTTCAGATGGAAAGGGAGTCTTATGATGTCAGAAACACTGGAGTTTTTGTGCTGCACTTACACTTTTAAGTTCTCATTCATAATGAAGGGAAACATGCCTCCTTGTTATTTTGTTCATGTAGACTGTTACAAACGATCAATATTATTTTTGGAAGGCTAAATCAAGAATCTTTTCAAATGGTAAATCCTTGGGGTTTTACATGGAAACGGTTTCTTATGCCATTATGCCATAAATACATTTAAAGAAATAGGCTACATTTGATGCTTCAGTAATGGAATTAAATATTTATGACGTATGAAATCAATGTAGGAGAAGCCAATGGTTAGCCTCTTGCCTGCTTTTAAATGATGTTTTAAAGTCTACTGTGATTGAAATGGATCAGTGCCTTTTATAAGTGCAAGCTAAAGAAAAATATTTTCATGCTCTTGAACATTTGTGTTACTGAGTTATAGTGGGATAGTGACTCTGGTGGGAAATTTCCCAGGGAGAGGAAAGTCCTGGCATCTTGAAATTCAATCAAGGGCTCCAGGAAGGCTATTTCCTTCCTTCACCTTCATTTCCTCTACTCAGTAGCACTGGAATGTAAGAACGTCCAGAATTAGTTCAGAGTTTTAGTTTGTGTGGTCACAGGCAACACATTTCATATTCTTAATTATGCTGCTGTGTTTTAAATAGCCTCACTCAGACAGAAGTGTAAATATTTGTCATTTTTACTGCTGCTTTGGAAGACACCTTCCAAATACTCTTTTGGATTTTATTGTTAATTTATATATAATTTTCAATAGCTGATCAGGATAATGGTCTCTCAGATCCTATCCTGTGTTTTGCCACATGGTTTAAGTGCCACAGTGACTCAGGATGTTGATGGTACAGAGGTAGTTTGGCTACTGTGTATATTTATATATCTGTTTGTGTTAGGAAATTATTTTTTTTGTCCCAAATTTTCTGTTAAATGATATTAATTAAAATTGCACTAGACATCTATTGTGTATGGATTTGGTCTGCATCACCTTGAAGACAGCGGAGACATCAGTGAAAGCCAACTCAGATGAAGACTACATAAAAGTGAAAACTGAGACATCTCCTGGATGTATAATACTACATAACAGTGTATACTTCGGGGGCATATCTGTATTTTGCCTTGGATAATTTCAGTCCTGAATTTTTTGGCTTGAAGTCTTCTGCGGTATTAAGTTGCAAAGATTCAGTGACATGAATAGAAGATGAGTGCTTAGCTGCTTCTGTGATCCTAATGTGCACCTTATTTCTATTTGACATCAGTGTAAACCATTGGTAAATAAACTGAGTCACCTTCAGGGAATCTAAATTACTGAAGACAGAGGCTTTATCTGGTAAATTTTACTTTATCATAGGAATTAGTGGTTGTTTCACTCTACCTACCCAGATTTTGAACAGTTTTTAAGTGATTCTGTGTCAGATGTCAAACTTAAGATTTACCCAGACACCCAGAAAGAGTGAAGCAATGTGTGAAAATTCATGCCCACACCTTTTTTCTATCTTTGTCCTCTTTGCTAAAACTGCCTGTTAGGCTAGTGCAAATTGCAGATATGTGATGGAAAATGCCATGTACAAATCTAACTAGATACATAACATATGCCTTTAGAGACTAGATTCAGAGTCCTGGTTCTTTTGATATCAACACACAAGCAGCTGCCTGTTTGCAGGCAAATCAGTGCCAAATCAGTGTTCCTAATTGGAAAGCATCATCGCACAGTTCTAGTCTTGTTAATGAGGGTCATAAGACATAAGGCTGTCTCCAGTAGGGATGCTAATTTTGTAAATAAATAATGTAAATACAATTTTTGTGAACTGAGTACCTATGAACATACTATTTTGTGAAGTGGACAATATTAATGCTGTTCCAGATACTATAATTGGAACAAGTATTTCAGTCACTGGCATAGATATATAACAGGACCATGACTAATCCCACTTACTAGCACAGGTGAAGTGCAATGTGCCAAAATCTGACCTCCAGTCTCATAGCAAAATGCTGAAGCGCCAACACCAAAGTTGGTAAGATGCTCATCAGGTATAGGCTTTGAAATAGAAGTTTAATCTCTTATTGCTGCTGTACAGAGGTCATTGCTGTGTTGCAGTCAGAAGAAGAACCACACTGCAGACTGTGTTTTCTGCATGATTCTTGAAGCATTCCTAATCTATTTGTGTACAGGCTACCTCAAGAAAACATTTGAAAGTCATCATTATCAGATAGGAATTTTCACCAGACAAATGTTGCGCTCACACACAAGAGTAAGCAATTTTGAAAATCACAGGATATAAGATTTTAATGTTCTTGTGTGTTTTTATGCTAAATAAAAGAGGATCAATTGATAGGCCAGTATTTACAAACACAGCAGTCTGTGAAAAGTCAGCAGGATTCTGTATGCTTTTGAGAGGGCTTTGGACTCTAGGCGTTTTACAAAATAGAGAAACATGCCATTTTTAGCAATTCAGGAAATGGAAAGACACTATATACAAAGGCTTAACTCTTCATTTACTTTCAAAGGCCTTAGAAATTGTATGTTATGTCACAGTAGTTGAACAGATGAAGGATAAAATGGGCAATTCTGATAGCAAAGAGACCTCTCCCTGGAATAGCTTGCGTCATTTCTGAGGCTTGTATGCCACTGGAAGATGTTTCTAGTATAATCGTCTCTACAGCAAAGTTTTGTTTGGCATAGATTCTCAAATTGAAGTGTAATGGAAAAAGAAAACACAGCCTCATGTCCCCATTTTCTATATTGAGAACATACTCTTAGTTTGAATACAGGGGATTAGGATTATAATTCCTTTTTTTTTTTTTTCCAAGGCAATTGCTTCCAATGTCTACCAAGTACATATGAAAAGCAGATTATAAGAGTTCATCATGTCTCTGACCTTTTTTTTCTATACTCTTTCTATATACTTTCACATACCAGTACGTGTCCTGTGAGTGCAAGTGTTTGGTTGCTTCTTCCCCCTTCAATCAGTCAAGCACCACTAATTTCCATCAGCGCAACACAAATTTAGATCTGCTGAGGATCTGGCTGTATGTATCAGCTTCCTTTTTACCATGTGAATTAGACCAGAATGGTCAGTTGGGAAATCAGTTCACCTCTGCTGAGGCCAGTGTAGTTCTTCCCTCCCTGGCCAAAAACTCTTTTCTCTAAATACTTTTGTGACATGCTCTGTCAAAGAAAGGCAAGTTGGGAATTCCAAAGTGGCTATTTATTAAACAAGTAACTATGGTCTACCTTCTTGTAAAAAGATGAAATATTTTATATCTCTTCTATACATTTAACCCCATGGATAAGATTCGTTTTGACAATGTTTATTATGCTGCACTATGGCCTAGCAATGTTAAAAGAAAGAAGTGTTACCCGCATTCAGATAAATTCTGAGCTGACTGAGCTGTGAAGCTAGTTATTGAAATATATGAAATTATGTTTTATAAATATACGGTCTAGCCAGAGATTTATGTAACAAACGTTGCAAAATAATCACGTGCCTTAAATTGTTACTCTTTGGAGTGCTGTTGTTTGCAGATTTTTGTGTGTATTTTCGAAAAGGTGTCAACTTATTGCATACATTTTTTAATAAGTCAATTTGTTCTGCTAATGTGTCTTTATAGAAATGTTTTAATAGTATATCATACTGAGAAGTTTGGCAATAAATTGTATCACTTTGGTGGAATCACACTGCTCTGGCAAGTGATTTCAAGAATCATTTATTTAGTACATCGGGAGAAGACTCTCCATACAAGACTTCTGAGAAGTTTGTATTTCTGTTCCCAAATCAAAGTTAAAAACAAAAAAGTGTACTGCTGATAACTCGTGTCATTTATAAAATGCAAATCATTAAAAGCAGCAACAGAAGTTGTAGAAGATCTCCCGAGTCTCTCTAAAAACTACAGTTCTATTCCCACTGCAGTCAGTGACAGAACTCCTATTCACTCTATAAACCAATAGTTCCATCCTTAAAACAGAAGGGTTCATATTTCATCGAAATATATAAAGAGAGGTTGTCATTATAACAACACTATAATTTAAATTTTACATATATGATGATATAATTGATGATATGATGACCTAATTATAATATTCTTTTGATGCAAAAAAAACAAGAGATCATAAAATCATAGAATGATTAGGGGTGGAAAGGACCTCAAGATCAGCCAGTTCCAACCCCCCTGCCATGGGCAGGAACACCACACACTAGACCAGGTTGTTCAAAGCCCCACCCAACCTGGCCTTGAAAACTTCCAGGGATGGAACAGTCACAACTTCCTTAGGCTGTTCCAGTGCCTCACCGCTCTCACAGTAAAGAATTTCCTCCTTGTACCTAACCTAAATCTTGCCTGTTTGAATTTGAACCCATTATCCATAACCCTTGTCCTATTGTTACAGTCCCTAACAAAGAGTCCCTCTCTGGCAACCTTGTAAGCCCCCTTTAGGTACTGCAAGCCTTCTCCAGGCTGAACATACCCATTTTTTTCAGCCTTTGTATCGATTTTGCTTTACTGTGCTGTGTTTTTTGAAGATATGGTAGTCACTAATGCCAGACAGCTTGACATCCTACACAGAAACAAAGGAAAGTTAATCCAAGGTGTTTTGTATTGGATTAATCAATTTTCCGTGAAAGCTCTGTGATCCCAGTGAAAATTACCATCTCCCATGACATCCTCCTGCTGTCATCCTGTTTCCATACCTCATATTGCTTTCTACAGTAGATAGGAGGCATGGGGTGAAGAAGTAAGTTCTAAATTTGTTTCTAGAGTAGTGGAATTAAATATTTATTGGAGTTAAGTAAACATTTTCTAAGTATGGATTTGAAAAGATTAAAATACACACAAGCGACTGAACCACATGCTAGCAAAAAGGTGCTGCAATGGCAAAATTAGATAGAACTGGTTTTGTGGTATGTCCATGCAATAACTAATTAGCTAATGCATCATTAAAGCAATCGGAGAAGTGTCATCCCTTACCACTTTTGTTGATACACAAAATATACAAAGGCCATGATTTTTCCAGTGGAAAATGAGCACTGAATGCTACTGGTAAGGATTCTGATAGGTCAGATTTAATGCTTCTTAGTTTATTGAGCTAAGAGGTTCATCACACTGAAACAGATCCCAGCCTTTTGCAAATGATGCGCAAACACAACTGGCACATAAAAGATGAGAGAATTCAGTGCTGTCCATTACTTAGAAACACAAAGTCATGATCAGCACAGTAGATGCATACAATGTAGAGTGAACAATCTAAGAGGTTTTAGGTAATACTCCATATGGGCTTTAATATTTTAATCTTTAAAACCAGTGAAGTTATAACTAAATTTCAAATCCCAACTGTGTTTTCAATTTTCTGAAACAGTGTTGGTGGACTGAACACACCACAAAAAGCCTTTATATTCTTTCCCCTTCACATCTGCTTCAGGCTCTCCTCACATGCTCAGGGGCATCCCAAAGTTTTGTACCTCTGCACTTTGTTCCTCACGGATCTGCAGGTAGAGAGAGGCTCAGTGCTAGTTATTAGCAATTGCAGCAAAACCAAGATGTATGCCTATGGAGTTTACAACATTCTAACTCAGTCTGAAATCCTAACCACACCTGAGGGTCAAGTTTCCTTACCTATATTATACCCCACTATGCTCAACAGTTATGGAAGAGCAGGCTTTCAGTGAATTTCATTTGATATTATTATGGATCTGAATTATCACCTCTGCCTCACAAAAAAGAAGTTTTCTGATTGGTTAGGTAGCTGATGTGCCACACAGGACCTGTACTTCCGACCACTACAGATGAGTTGGATGACATGCAATGCCTTTGCCAAGAACCGTCCAGAACACATAACTATCCAACATTGCTCTTGTTAGAGCTACTGCATTCTGTTATTTGCAAAACCTTATCCTTCTCATTTGTGCACAGTTAACATTTAATTACTTGCTGTTCTGAAACATTGATGCATCCATCTTGAATACACCCAACATGTAATTCAAAGAAAACAAATATGACTCTGTGTAACTGGGCTGTGAACGGTGGGGCTGTAGATGAGTGAACATTTTGCTGAGACTGCATAAGACAGAGAATCAAAGAAATATTGAAGAAGTTCAGTTGGAAGGGACTTCTGGAAGTCATCTAATCCAATCTCTGAGGATCTAGCTCAGATCTAACTAACTTGGAGCTAACTGACCCGTCAAATCAGGCTAGAATCTGGATAGCAGAATGGCAGGATTCACTTCTTTTCATACACACACTTTCAGCTCTCAAGGCTATTTTCTCAACTCACCAGAAGAAAACCTACCTTCTGGCAGAAGGCCATCAGGGTATCCTCAAGAAAACATTCCAAGCACCTGTCATCCCTGGTGTCTAGAGGTTCATACAGGAGCCAAGAGTTCAGACTGCAGAGGACACGGTATGGTATGCTCAGGAAAGAGTGGGGTTGAATCACTTCACCTACCATATAAAGACTTCTGCATATACTAATCCTCATAATGGGTGTTTATAAGGGGTGTTTATTATGCTGATATGTGTGGTGCCCTTATGAGCATTGATTCATTTTGCTATATGAAAGACACCACTCCTCTATTCCCCAGAGGTGGTCGCTACAAGTATGATCCCAATAACAGGATTAAACATAGGCAGTCTTAACTTTCTTCAGCTTTTTAAGCAGCACTACAGGATGCTGTGTGGGTAGTGCTGATCATGTAACTGCTCTGCAACAATTTTGTACGTGGCCAAGATTCTGCATGTGATAGTGAACTCTGCTTTCCAGTAGTCTTCACCACATAAAAACAACTATCTTTGAAACTTGCCGCCCAGAAACCAACCTGGGATTTTATCCTGTATTTTTCTCTTCTGACAGAATTTTAGTAGATGTTAAAACCTCTTGTGATGGACTTACAATACATGTGCTTTTGCTTCTTTATGACTTAGGTAAGACACCAAAAAGAGTAATTGCCTTGAAAGACTTCTAAGTGGTACGAATGCTTTTTGATGTTTAGGTGTAAATAAAGCTTTTCCTGTACTTGTACATTGTGATACTACAAGCAGAAGAGAACTAGAAATGAAAAGCCCTCAGTTTTGAGTCTTTGTGCGATTTTTGTTCCTCCTGTATCCTTGTCCCCCTTATTATCCTTTTCTTTTTTCCTGACACAAATCACATTAGGAAACAATACTCTTGAGGCTTCCCTCCCTCTGCCCCCCCACCAAGGTTTACATTAATCTAAATGGTTTGAAGCAGCCTATGGAATGAGGGGAGATAGGACTGTGTGATATTTCAAAATACCCAAATATTGAAGGTCCACTTAATTTATTAAACTCCAAAGACAAAAACTGCTTGTATGGAGGCTGCTGGTTTATTCTGCAGTTCCTTTCTGTGTTTGTATGCTGTTCCTATCTAGTCCCAAGCCCTGCTTTGAATAACCAAACAAGAATGGCTGATGGACTAGACAAAAAAAAAAGGACAATACTGATTATGTTGGCCAATCAATTCAACCTGACTATAATCAGATCAGTTGATATTTTTGCAGTATGCTACTATTTCATGTTATTTGTTAGGATTAAAAAAACAACTTTTGGGGGCAGCAGATACATCTTGTTTATTTATTTCTGTGTGTCATCTCTGTGATTTTGGAATATTTTGACTCTTTCTTGTTTCCAAACAAATTAAGTATGCAGACTTCAAATATGTATGAATTGTTTAAAAAATTTATTTCCCTTTGCTATCAGCTTTTCTGCAGCAGTCCTGAGGAGCACTGTATGATGCCATATAGATTACAGGTTGCGGAACTCTGGCCTAGACTGAAGTGATGGTACATTGAAACAGCCTCTCTGAGTACCATCTTTCTCCCAGATTGTAGGAAAAAAAATAATCTTATGCTCTTAGGCAACTCACATTCAGACCTTTTGATCCAAAATTGTATGTTTAAAAATGCAAACTCATGTTTCATGGTTTGTGAAATCTTTATCTTCTGTTGGCAGACATTCCCATCAAGATAGAATTAAATGGATAATTCCTGTGGGGTTTTCTTCTTCCTGTCTTCTTAATCTTAAGTTAGGATTTGCAATTATTAATAAGCCTGAGGTATTGGAAAAGAGATCTGTAGTGTGCTTGGCTCCTTCTGGAACCTACATTAGCCTCAGTGGGACCAAAAGTTGTAGTCTGTCACCTGCATGCAGTGAAACACTGAGACATGACACAATATGGCATGAAGCTCTTCTCAGTCTATGCTGCATTATCTGCTCTGTTTCTTAGTAGTCTCAAATGAGATTTGTGTGTGGACATCCAACACCATGGACTCAGAATGCTGGATGTGCTTGAAAAACCTTTGTATCACCTACTGTATGTTTTGGAAAACTCCATGAGTTTCTTTCTGAGGACTAATTAAAAAATAAAATTGTCATCTTAATAAAATACTTACCTCCACGATATGTCCTTTGGAATGGGCCCACAGCTTCAGAAACTGGTTTACAATCCCTCCACATTAAAGATGTATTTCAAGACCCATCTCTTTCTCTTCAGTGTAGAGAGCATTAGGAGATATGTCAAACAAACTAGTAAACTATCTTGATAAAGCATAATATCAATTGGGCTTACTTAAGATTAATTTTTCAGTAGGATGAAGCAATGAAGTCCTTGCAAATAGTTGTTAAAATCATGCATATCTCAAATGAAACTGAAAATAATAGATATGTTAATACAGAAATTAAGGAGGGGAAGCTTTGAGCAACCTGGTCTAGTGGAAAATGTCCCTGCCCTTGGCAGGGGGGTAGAAACTGGATGAGCTTTAAGGTCCCTTCCAACCCAAATTATTCTATGATAAATGGTATCAGGAAAGATGTGTGCAACTGTTCAAAGTGTGTATTGTTTATCATGCAGAACAAAG